TTTTATTTTGATGAGGTCCCAGTAGTTCATTTTTGCTTTTGTTTCCCTTGCCTCTGGAGACGTGTTGAGTAAGAAGTTGCTGCAGCCAAGATCAAAGAGGTTTTTGCCTGCTTTCTCCTGGAGGATTTTGATGGCTTCCTGTCTTATATTGAGGTCTTTCATCCACTTTGAGTTTATTTTTGTGTATGGTGTAAGAAAGTGGTCCAGGTTCATTCTTCGGCATGTCACTGTCCAGTTTTCCCAGCACCACTTGCTGAAGAGACTGTCTTTATTCCATTGGATATTCTTTCCTGCTCTGTCAAAGATTAGTTGGCCATACATTTGTGGATCCATTTCTGGGTTCTCTATTCTATTCCATTGATCTGAGTGTCTGTTCTTCTGCCAGTACCATACTGTCTTGATGATTACAGCTTTGTAGTATAGCTTGAAGTCTGGGATTGTGAAGCATCTGACTCTTGATCTCAGCTCAGGTCTTGATCTCAGGGTTGCGAGTCTGAGATAAAAAAATACATACGTATGTCTAGGAAAATTTAGTCATTGATATCTTAAATGTGCAGTTACATTTCTGGAAACTGACTACAGCCTGTAATGTGGAAGGTGTGCGTCTTGGTGTGCATCTTGGTGTGTTTGCTTTGTAATTTCATCTAAGATAGAGGACTACAGTAGGAAAATCATGTCTCTGATTTGTGCTAATGATAATGGTGGCTGTTTGGATCACTGAAGGAAAAAGAAGTAATGTGTTCATGAATGTAGGTGAATGCTATGATTCTCATTAGTAGAAGTGAAAAATGAAAGGGGAGGACACTATTAAGAGAGTGGAAAGAAAACTCGCAAAATGGTAGAAAATATTTTTTTGCTAATCATGTATTTGATAAAGAATTAATATTTAGAATATATAAAGAACTATTACAACTCAACAACAACAAAAAACCCAAATAAAGCAATTAATAAATGGACAAAGGACTTGAATAATATACAGATAGTCAATAAGCACATGAAAAGATGTACAATATCATTAGTCCTTGGGGAAACACGTACCAACTACAATGAGATACCACTTCACACCCATCAGGATGGCTATAATTAAAAAAATGGAAAACAACAAGTGTTGGTGAGGGTGTGGAAAAACTGGAACTCTTGTATACTGGTGGCAGGGATGTAAATGGTGCGGCACTATGGGAAAAAGTTTGGCAGTTCTTCAAAAACTAGACTTACCAGATGACCCAGCAATTCTGTTCGTAGGTATATACCCAAAGGAATTGAAACAGGGACTCAAACAGGTACTTGCATAGCAGTGTTTTTTATAGCAGCATTATTCACAAAGGCAAGGGGGTAGAAACAACCCAAATGTTGGGAAATAATGGTGATGGTAATATATAACATTGTGAAATGTACTTAATGCCACTGAACCACACATTTAAACATGCTTAAAGTGGCAAATTTATGTTATTATATATCTTACCACAATTTTTAAAAAGAGAGAGAATCACGGGGTAGAGAGTATGCTAGATCATGGGATGCAGGAAAGGACGGAAGCCTGAGAGAGGTTGGTAGGAAGACAAGTGTTTGAGGGATTAATGGTTACAGTGAGTTTGAAGGGAAGGTATTTTTTTTCTTAAGTTTATTTATTTACTTTGAGAGAGACAGAAACAGTGGGAGTGGGGGAGGTAGAGAGAGAATCCCAAGCAGGCTCCGCACTGTCAGTGCAGAGCTGGGCGTGAACGCATGAAGCTATGAGATCATGACCTGAGCTGAAACCAAGAGTTGGACATTTAACTGACTGAGCTACCGGGTGCCCCTGAAGGGAAGGTATGTAGAGAGTAAGATTGAGAGAACTGAAATAATAGCAAGATGTGTTGACTAATATATTGGAATGTTAAAATTTCGGGTGTAGAATGTTTCCAGGTAATAAAGTTGAGGATGTGCCCATGGGTGTGGACTGCTTAAGAAGTGTGGGAAATGACAGTCTAGGGAATTGAATGTGGCCAAACTCACACAGAGGGGCACCTGGAATGGGGTAGACAGCAAGCCTGAGTTGTATGTCAGAGATTAGTAGATGTCAGTAGTTGAATTTGCAGGAGCCAAAAAGGAAAATGACTTATTTCTATGATATTTCTTAGTTCTGTACTTTTATTGTAGTGTTGACCCAGAGTTTGTTGAATTTCTTCTTATTGGACAAATTTTGATAAGCTTAGTAGGTTGCAGAGGATAAGCCAGTCCCAAAGGTGAGAGGTATAGAAATAGGGTGAGGCAATATTTCACCTCTTCTGTGTAGCTACAGATGTTTTTATCCGATTGTGTGTTTCAAGTAAAATGAAGGGAGGAAGCATTGGCTTCTTGCTTTTTAAAGTGTATAAGCAAGTCTTTAAAGGCCTTCTTATTAGATGTGTTTTGTTTTAGACATGTGCACGTTGTACTGCTTCAAAAAGAATATCTTTTTTGATAGAATTTGATCTAGAATTTCATTTTATTTATCACATTATAATTGTTACAAAATGTGTTCAGTTTATAAAATGAAAAAATCATTCGGCAAGCCCCATCTAATTAAATTATACTTTGATATTCCAGTGTTGCCTCTAATTTTGTTTTCTCTTGTGCCAGATCTTTTATTTACTATAGTCTCTGATTTATATTGAGTCTCAAAATACTGTTTTTATCGTTCTTAGGAAAACGGGAAATCATTTTCACAACTTCATTAGTTGGCAAGACCTAAGAGCTATTGAGCTGGTAAAATCTTGGAATAATTCATTCCTAATGAAGGTAATCTTTTTCTTATCTTCTGTGATTTAGATATTACTGTTTTCCCTGTAAATGTCCCTTACCTGTATAATCTCCTACCTGTGCTGTTTTAGAACGTTGAGAAGAGAATATACATATGCACACTCCACACATCAGGGAAACTTCATAATTGTCCCCCAAAAGCATATATGGTAGACTAAAGTACTTAACAACTACACTTCAGGAAGCCCTAAGAAGGTTTAGGATGGACCCCAGGGTCTCATGTGAGTGAGAATTCATGTTACCATTCTTGGAGAAGTGGACAAAATGCAGACCATGTCCAGAAAAAATAGAGAAATGTCCAAATTTCATAATCTTTTGTTAAAAGTGGAGAATGGATATCAAGACGCATAACTGGCTGACAGCCACAAGCTCTTCATCTGATGCCTACCACATCATGGTAGCAAATGACAATGGTTATGACTATGACAGTGACAGTAGTGGTGGTGGCAGCATAAGTGTGGGGTTACTGAGTCAGAGGGTAAGACAGTTTTCCAAATGTGGCCAGACCTGCAATATGTGATGTTATAATTAATATTACATGCTGCAATTTTACATATTCTAATGCCACACAGCTAAATGCCTTTTCAACTCAGGTGCCTCTACAGAATGGTGCTTCAGAGAGTATCTGGAGCATTGATTTGACTCAATAACTATTTGGAGACACTAATTTTATATGGAAACAAACATGAATATATTATAGAATATGACAGCAATGCATGAGTGAAAGAAACACTTTTGCCATAATGTCACCCACATTGGTTTTTCTTTTGTTAGTTTAATATATGAGGATGTACCTTGCTTTAATAACTTGTAAGGCTGAGTACTGAGAGATGCTGTGTACAGGAAAGAGTGATTAAGGAGTTGAAAATGATTATAAGAAAATGTCATGAACTTTGAATGGTATAATTTAAAATTATACAATTTATAGGGTTGCCTGGGTGGCTCAGTCAGTTAAGCGTCCGACTCTTGATTTCAGCTCAGGTCATGATCTCACAGTTTGTGAGTTCGAGCCCCACATGGGGCTCCATGCTGATAGTGCAGAGCCTGCTTGGGATTCTCTTTCTCCTTCTCTCTCTGCCCCTCCCTCACTCACTCTCTGTCTCTCTCAAAAATAAACAAACATTAAAAAATAATAATAAAAACAAAACTGACTTCATACACAAAACTCTGCATTTAAAGCACTTCATCTACTTGATATTGAACATGCACATGATGTAAGCTTGGTTTCTCTTAGGAAAAAATGTGCATGGATTCTTACAGTTTAGCACACATGATTCCAGGGCCTGTCCTGCCAGTGGAGGAACCCCACCCTGCACCCATCCTCTCCCAGATCCTTATGGTTTATTGATTGAGGCTCCTGGAAATGTTTAGGGTGTATGTGCCAGAAATGGCACCAAAGTTGTCAGTTTAGTCAGGGCTAGCTCTAAGCAACATGATGAAGTAATTAAAGTGTGTTGGCAATCTCCTGGCACCATTGTTTTCCTCCAGTCTTTCCAGCAGCCATGCTTCCTCTCACTGTTGTTCTGATTCTTGCTTAATGGTTGCTAAGGCTTCTCTTTGCTTTTAGCACTAAATCTTCACTCCCTACCATGGATCAGCTCTGTCTACGACTCTGACCATTTCCCAGACCCCTTCCTCCCTGAAGCTGCTAAGGATCTGGCTCCAGCTTTGCCAGCCTGCTTTTGTTCTTGTAGCACCCAAGCAGCCTCTCACCTTAAGACCTTCAGACCTGCAAGGGGCTCTCCTGCCATCATGACTGGATTCTTCTCATCCTTCCGGGCCCAGCTCACCTGCCACCTCCTCTGTGTGAGGCCTTTCCTGCCATCTTATTTATATAGAGTAGCATGACCCCCTTCCCCCAGTCCAGTCTGTATCAAACCGCCCTTTCTTTCTTTCACAGCACTTATCATATTTCACAGATTTTGAGATGTATAATTTTTTCAACTGAAATTTTAATTGAGATAATTATAGATTCACATGCAGTTGTAAAAAATAATACAGGGATCCCTTATAGGCTTTGCAGGTTCTCTCAATGGTAACAGTTTACAAAACTGGAGTATAGCATCACAACCAGGATACTGACATTGATACAATCTGTAGATCATATTCAGATTTCCCTATTTTACTTGTACTCTTTTCTGTTTGTATGTGGGCGTGTTCTGACTTCTGTACAGTTCTTTTATATGTTCGTATGACCACCACCACAGTTGGGACGCTGAACTGTAACATCATTACAAAGGTCCCTCATGTTGCTCTTTTATTATTTTTAAAAAATTTTTTATTTAAAAAAATTTTTTAATGTTTATTTTTTGAGAGAGCATGAGCATGAGCAGGGGAGGGGCAGAGAGAGAGGGAGTCACAGAATCTGAAGCAGGCTCCAGGCTCTGAGCTGTCAGCACAGAGCCAGACATGGGGCTTGAACTCACAGACCATGAGATCATGACCTGAGGTGAAGTCGGACGCTTAACCGACTGAGCCACCCAGGGGCCCCTTATGTTGCTCTTTTATAACCACAGCCATCTCTGTCCTGTGTACCTCTCCAGCCTCTTCCCATCCATCACTCCTCGCAACTAGTAATCTGTCCTCCATTAAAAATATTTTCTGACTTCAAAAATATTATATACCTAAAATGATGCAGTATAAAACCTTTGGGATTTGCTTTTTTCACTTAGTGTAATTCCCTGGAGAATCCAAGTTGTACCTGAATCAATAGGTTGTTTCTTTTTATTGCTGTGTTGTATTCAGGGGTACAGATGCACTACCTGTTTTTTAAGGACATCTGTGAAATCCCAGTTTTTGGCTATTACAAATAGGGCTGTTCTGAACATTTGTGTTTTTATTTTATTTTATTTTATTTTATTTTATTTATTTATTTATTTATTTATTTATTTATTTTAATGTTTATTTTTGAGACAGAGAGAGACAGAGCATGAATGAGGGAGGGTCAGAGAGAGAGGGAGATCCAGAATCCGAAGCAGGCTCCAGGCTCTGAGCTGTCAGCACAGAGCCGGACATGGGGCTCGAACCCACAAATCGTGAGATCATGACCTGAGCCGAAGTCGGACGCTTAACTGACTGAGCCACCCAGGCACCCCTGTTTTGAACATTTGTGTACAGACATTTATGTGAATGTAAGTGTTCATTTCTCTAGGATAATACCCCAAATGTACAATTAATTGCTAGGTCAAATGGTAATTGCATATTTTGTTTTATATGAAACTGTCAGAAAACTTTTTCCAGGGTGGCTGCATCATTTACCTTCCCCCCAGCAATGTGTGAATTATAAGACATACTTTTTTTTTCTAATTTAAAAGGGGTGATTTTAAGCAGGATATATTTTTGTAAGATTTTATTTTTAATTAATCTCCACACCCAACATGGGGCTTGAACTCACAACCCCTAGGCCAGGAGTCACACATTCCACCAACTGAGCCAGCCAGGCGCCCCAAGCAGGATGTATTCTTAACCATCAATTTTTAAAATCATTTTAACCATCAATTATATCTTAGCATTTCATTGTAATTTAACTAACAGGATTCTTTGTTGTTTTTTTGGTGGTACCTTCAATATTGGTTTATTTTACGGTGTCTTCTTAGATTATCTCATTTATTGAGTTGATTCCTTGTCTTTCTCTTCCCATTAGAATGTAAATTTCAAGAAGGCAGGGACTCTGCCTATATTGTTCACTCTAGTTTCTCAAGGACTAGCACAGTCCCTTGGTACATAGAAGGTACTCAATAAATATTTGTTAAATGTAAGAACAAAATGCTAATTGTTCGTATGTTATATAAAACTACAGGTGTTAGGGGTGCCTGGGTGACTCAGTTAAGTGTCTGGCTCTTGATTTCGGCTCACTTCATGATCTCACAGTTCATGGGGTTGAGCCCCACTTTGGGCTTTGTGCCCACAGCACGGAGCCTGCTTGGGATTGTCTCTCTCCCTCTCTCTCTACCCCTCCCCCACTTGCATGCGCTCTCTCTTTCTCAAAATAAATAAATAAACTTAAAAAAAAAAGTACAGGTGTTAGAACTCTTAATACTTTTTGTGTGCTCCCCCACCCCTAGTATCTGCATTTTAATAGAAGATACCTTTTAATAGAAGGATATGAAATCTAATTTTTTAAATAGAGGAAAGTATAGTGTTCTTAGGGAAGAAAAACCTCTTTCAGTTTGAGGCATTCGTTAACATATAACACATCAGAGGGAGGATTATGGGTCGTCCCTTTAAATACTTTAAGGACGTCTTGTCTTTTTTTAAATTAAAAAAAAAATTTTTTTTTAGTGTTTATTTATTTTTGAGAGAGAGAGAGACAGAGCATGAGTAGGGGAGGAGCAGAGAGAGAGAGGGAGACACAGAATCTGAAGCAGGCTCCAGGCTCCGAGCTGCCAGCACAGAGCCCGATGCTGGGCTTGAACTCACGAACCATGAGGTCATGACCTGAACCGAGGTCAGACACTCAACCCACTGAGCCACCCAGGCATCCCAAGGACATCTTATCTTTTTTTTTTTTAAACATTTATTTATTTTTGAGACAGAGCATGAACAGGGGAGGGTCAGAGAAAGAGGGAGACACAGAATCTGAAACAGGCTCCAGGCTTTGAGCTGTCAGCACAGAGCCTGACGTGGGGCTTGAACCCACGGACTGTGAGATCATGACCTGAGCCGAAGTCGGACGCTTAACCGACTGAGCCACCCAGGCGCCCCAAGGACATCTTATCTTTTAATAAACAGTGCAAAATATGTAGAAACACAGGAAGTTTGAGCACTGAATGAGATGAAAAGGAAGTTAAAAGGGCTATAACTTTCAGTTATAAGATGAGTAAGGTCTGAGAATCTAATGTATTACATGACTATAATTGATAACACTGTATTATATAATTAAAATTTGCTAAGAGTAGAACTTTTCACCAAAACGAAAAGGAAAAAAAAAAGGACAAGGGATGCCTGGATGGGTCAGTAGGTTGAATGCCGCCTGACTTTTGATTTTGGCTCAGGTCATGATCTCATGGGTTCATGAGTTTGAGCTCCACATTGGGCTCTGTGCTGACAGTGAGGAGCCTGCTTGGGATTCTCTCTCTCTCCCTCCCTCTCGCTCTCTCTGCCCCTCCCCCGCTCTCTCTTTCCTTCTCTTTCAAAATAAATAAAAAACAAAGGACAAAACTAAAATGTAGAGAGAATTGAGTCTATACATTTTCTTCATTGTTACATTTATTATTTTAGTAAATAAACCCAAACCTTTATATTTATTTTTTAGGGGAGGGGTGAGTAATAACAGAGGGAAAAATGCAAGAAGGCGGTAAATTCTCTATAAGTGAATATTCTTTAAAACATCAGTTTCAGAAGTTGAATTGTCCATCGGCATTCTTGTAGTAGGTGGCAGGATAGAGTTTTTGTTTTTGATTTTTTTTTTTTTTTACTATGTCTTACAAACCTTAAAACTCAAAGCAAGTTTTCTGTGAGAGGCTTTTTCTTTTTAACTAAAGATTTTGCTTACTAAGAAACAAATTTAAAACTATGTATATTTCATCTTTGATTTTGTTAAGTATAGGTAGTGTTCAGTGAAATCATATATCCCAATTTTAGGTACTTAGTGTGTAGGGAAATTTCTCTTATGGGTTAATAGTAACCTCATTCAAAATATATTTCATATAGGAATATAGCCTATCCCTTGACTCTCCCCCTTTTCTTTTCTTTTTCTTTTATATTTTTTAAGTTTTTTTTTTTTTTTT